AAACCTTCAATTTCCAAAAAAGAATAAAATCCCACAAAATCTGCAAAAATCAATAAAGCAAATTTCAATGAAATGACCTATGCTTGTGTAAGCCTTAGTACTCTCTGAAGTTTCAGGTATCCAGTGGAGGTCTTGGAATATATCCCCCATGGATCAAGGGGTACTACTATATCATATGTTTATATATGTGTGTATTTATGTTTATACACAGTCCTATACATATGAGGTGTGTGTATATATATATGTGTGCATATACATATTTGTGTATATATGTGTATATATGTATATGTATATACATTTGTATGTACATATGTATGCATATATACATGTGTATATGTATCTTTACATACATATATACACATGTAGATACACACAAATATACACAAAACACACATCCACATGCCTAGAATCTAAACAAAGAAATTTACATTGGTAGACCAAGAAGGCATAACAAAGTTATTACATTTATTTAATTCTCCAGATATTCTTGAAGGGCAACCGGGTTAGAAACTGCAGATCTAATTAATGGTTTTTTTACTTTGTAGGTAAGCATATTGAGACTAGAATAGGGACATAATTTTCATAATTGTTCACGTATTTTTATATATTTATAATTAATTTTGGGCCTATTTTAGGGAGAAACAGAAAACTTATCAGGGACTATAAACACCATGAAGAGAAACAAAGACAAAGAAAGGGATGAAATATTATGTTGTGGCAAGCTTTGGACATATTTTAGAGGGTCTAGACTGTAACTTTATGATGTGGGGATATCAGAAATAATATCTGAATGAAGTGATGTAAAATGACACTGAGAATTCTTTTCAGTGACCCAATTTTAAAGATGAGCAGACAACGAAGATTACCTTTTATTATGTCAGAAATCAATTGACCATATATGTGTGAATCTGGTTCTGAACATTTTATTACATTTTATTAATTAAAGTGTATTTTTTTACCCAATATTTCACTATCTTTGCTATTTTAGCTTTGTGGTAAGTCCTAAAACCAGTCGTATTCACAGATTATGTAAACATTCCAAATTTATTCTTTTTCAAAACTGTTTTGACCCCGTTTTTTTCACTGTTACACATAAATTGTAGACTCAACTTCTCAATGTCTACAAAAAATTCTTAATTTTAACTGGAATTGCACTGAATCTATAATGAGCTCGTGATCTTAATAGATAGTTCACAGTCTGCCTTCCAGTATCAACTTTCTTCTTTATATTTCACATTCAGATTTCATAAACCAATATTTCCTACCTACCAATTTACAATCCCTGGGTATGAAGTCCAGCTAGACATCTATGTATTTTCCATAATTTCCCCAAGACTTGTTTATGTACATAGCTAGGTAGTAGCTTATACATTAGTATGTAGCATTCCCCAAGACAAGACTAAATTCAACTCAAAAAGTTTGACCTTTATCTCTGCCAGAGCTCTAATATTCCAAGGTTCTATTATATAGAACATTATTATCTGTATACTATTCCCCCTCTCCTGTATTTCCTATTCATGTATTTGTATTTCTCTCTTCTCAAGGAATAGAACACTCAAGGCGTCTAAATCTGCTTCTCCTACAACTTAGAAGTATAGCACTTTAAAGTTAAGAAAGCAAACTTTAATAGATTGTAAATCCTGTCATAAGTTATGCTTCCATATTATTTTATCACATGTCTCCAGGATTTCCAGAGAATGTGCATGTTATCTTCCCAGAAAAAGCAAACTGGAAATCAGAGAATTTATTATCGTACTGGCATATAGCTATTTAGCATCATAGTTGGGACTATCTTGTATCATTAGGTTTCTTTTCCACTGATGGATCACTTTTTTTTTTTTTCCAGCCAGAAGCCAAAGTTCCTTCAGGTAATCATTTTCATCATGTAGTTCATTACTCCAGAAGCATTCACCTGTTTACTATTTTAGAAGTATTCCTGATACATTTCTGTCCCAGAAAAGAATTAGTGTGTTTCTTCAATGGGCCTCCCTGAGGACTTGAAGAGCTTGAGAAGCTGGTATAAGAATCCACATGCATAACATTAATCACGTACCTAATTGAGTGAACAGTTTATTTCCACAGGTAGGAGGAAAACCCCTTTATTACATATAACACATTATAGAAGCTATATTATGTTTGAAAATATATGCTTTAATATTTAAATATAAAAGAGAGGATTCTATTAATCTCAAAATTTACACCACAAATTAAATCTTATGCCTCCTAGGACATATATCACAGAAAATATAAAGGACTTCCTACATATTTTGGTGAATAGAACTATAAATTAGAAATTTGTTTTAATTTTTTCTGATGAATAGTCAAAATAGGGGCAGCAGGATTACAGGATAATGTTTCACATTTAGAAAAATTATTAGCTACAGAGAAAATTAACTTTCAACTAACTTTTGGGTATATTTCACTTTGGGTTCAATTTATTTTATTTTCTGATACAGGACTACCAGAAAAGTTTATTATAAAAGTTAGGTAATTGACTAAGAAGCAGATTTAGTGATTATTTTAAATTTTCATATGCTATTTAAGCTTAATATATTTAAATAATTTAATAACACAAAAATGCTATTTTACATAGTTTCTAGGACGTAACATTTCTAAAACTATGGCAGGTTACATCAGGGTTGCACTACGGTTCTATTAAAATATTGATTTTGTAAATTCCTGTTTATATTATTATACAAATAAAAATTTAAGTCATAAGTTTACATGTATGCATTATTCACATGTAATATAAAATTTATTAAAATTGATCTTAATGCATCTCATAAAAAAGAACTGTGCAATCACCTCATGTTTATGTAGTTGAACGAGGCATACGTGAAAGTTTTGTCCAATCTAAGTTATCCTTTAGTTTGGAAGGAGAAGTAATTTTTCCAAGTTTATGCTGCTAAACATGACATTTTAATATAGGGTTTTAGAGTCGAAGTATAGTTCCTAGTATTCTACAATTGCCTTATTTCAGATATCTTAGGAAAATAAAGTCTGGAAGTGTAATGTAGCTGACCTTTCTCCTGTATGTAGTGGTAAACATGTATTTTGTAATGGACTCCTTTGGTAGATTATTAGTACATTTTTCAAAATTCACTGGCTTTTTTTTTTGAATCATGCTTCTTGTCTGCCTAATTCCTGTTTGTTCCTGAGTCTTGTCAGTAAACGTTTGTATATATCCCATTGATTCTTCTAACATAGAAAGAGAGAGAGGAGAAAATATAGGAGAAAGAGAGGATAGGAATTTGTATAACAGAACTGTATTTTTTATGACTCAAAAATACATTAATACATAAATATTTATTGATAACTTTGTAAGCTATTTTATGAACATAACAAAAAAATTACTTAATATATTTGTGTGTGTGTTCTCATGAGTAATATGTAAGCAATCTGGATTTACACAGAAAGTGGAATTTAACTGAATTATATCTTTTACTGTAGAATTTTCTAAGAATCACATGAGAATTTGTTTTGTTCTGTAGTCCTTCATTTATGAGGGTATTTTAGTATATTAGAAAAAATCTTGCACATGGATCTGTTAGAACATTTCTGTAACAATATATAAAAATACCTGGCCTTTCTTTTGTTTCTAAAAGTGGTTTTAGTCTTATTTGTTCATTCTCTTCTTAATGCGTGGTCAATCTTAATACGACAAAATTTTGGTATGTTTCACATCATGACTACAAATCATTTGTAAGTCACTGAATTCAGACTGGAACTACATATGTAGAGTTATCACTCCTTTTAAAACTTTCATAATCTATGATATGCTAAAAGAAAAACTAAATTACCTTGCTTAACTCTCCCCTCTAATTTTACCCCTAAATTTAGTGTGTGTAGTACTAAACTGTTTCAATAACAGGTTTTCAGTCTAGATACAGGAGTCCCTTTAACCTTGCTACCTTATTTTCTTTTATTTATTTATTTTTGGTCATGTAATTGTCTTTCTTCATACTCCTCAATGTGAAACAGAATAACAACATTAGGAAAGAAATTCAGATATCAAACACTACTTTCTCGCAAATATACTAACGTTATATTTTTAGCCAGATAGTCCATCATTTTTATTATTATTGGTGATTTTTATTTCACAGTAATTTTAAAAACTCTAAAAGCAACTATAATATGTTAAAAGAATGGCAATGATTTATCTTTAACAGAAATATGTTTTAAAATACATCCAAGGACTTTGCAAAAATAACAAACATATGAATTATTAGTAAGATGCATCTTACATTGTTATTAAGTTGAAATTTAAAAACAGTTATGATAAATAAGGTATAGAGGCCAAAACTGACAACTAGGTGATATTTCAGAAAGAAAAAGTCCTGAAAATAAAACACATTGCACTGTTTGTAAAGAAGTTACATCTCTCTCTAGAATATGGTCTGCTCTTCTATTTAATGGAACAAGATAATTGCCAGAACAGGGTACATGAAATTGTTTTATTTGAAAAGGCTGCTGCATGCAACAAGTTGAAATGTATGTCTGACTTATCCCCATTTTCTAGTCATCTGGAAGCCTTTTAAATTATGTAATTGTTATTTTCAAAAATTTAAATTGAACTGTGCTGTGAGTGGTTTCTATTCTAAAAATTGTGAACATTTACAAAAGACATCTCATGTACTTCATCACAAATCTAAGACTGTACTCAAGTGTGTACTTTCCACTATGACATATTTAGTTTTAAATATTTCTACATTCAGTAATCTTTGTGAGCTTTAGGACATAATATGAGAGCAAGCGGTAAAAAATTCAGCAGAAAATTAACTGGAAAATAAAATCACTTTAATTAGCACGGTTTTTTAAAAACATGATAAATTTAGCCAATAAATTACATATTTTTTCCTTTTACTTATACAGTGAAATTCATCTCTTTGCCTCCAATTACTTCATCATAGTCTATTCCATTACTACCAGGGAAATTATTATGCCCTAAGAAGTAAAACAAGGATACAACTGAATGGACTCCATTTTCACATTTTCTTTATAATCTGTAAGTAAAAACTGAAATGAACAAGTTGTCATCAGGTTTGGATACATACAAGATTCCACTGAAGAACAAGACTGAAGTCACCAGGTTTATATTGACAGGCTTCACAGATGATTTTGAGCTGCAAGTCTTCCTATTTTTACTATTTCTTGCAATCTATCTCTTTACCTTGATAGGCAATTTAGGGCTGGTTGTATTGGTCATTGAGGATCCCTGGCTCCACAACCCCATGTATTATTTTATTAGTGTTTTATCATTCTTGGATGCCTGCTATTCTACAGTTGTCACTCCAAAAATGTTGGTCAATTTCCTGGCAAAAAATAAATCTATTTCATTTATTGGATGTGCAACACAGATGCTTCTTTTTGTTACTTTTGGAACCACAGAATGCTTTCTCTTGGCTGCAATGGCTTATGATCGCTATGTAGCCATCTACAACCCTCTTCTGTATTCAGTGAGCATGTCACCCAGAGTCTACGTGCCACTCATCACTGCTTCCTACGTTGCTGGCATTTTACATGCTACTATCCATACAGTGGCTACATTTAAACTGTCCTTCTGTAGATCCAATGAAATTAGGCATGTCTTTTGTGATATTCCTCCTCTCCTTGCTATTTCTTGTTCTGACAGTCACACAAACCAGCTTCTACTCTTCTACTTTGTGGGCTCTATTGAGATAGTCACTATCCTGATTGTCCTGATCTCCTATGGTTTCATTCTGTTGGCCATTCTGAAGATGCATTCTGCTGTGGGAAGGCAAAAGGCATTCTCTACATGTGGCTCTCACCTAACTGGAGTGACAATTTATCATGGAACAATTCTCTTCAGTTATATGAGACCAAGTTCCAGCTATGCTTCAGACCATGACATCGTAGTGTCAATATTTTACACCATTGTGATTCCCATGCTGAATCCCATCATCTATAGTTTGAGGAACAAAGATGTGAAAAAGGCAATGAAAAAAATGTTGAAATTGGTTTACACATGAAGAATATTTTTAAAATTGAGTAAACCTGAACAAAATGTTGAGTTTCAGAGTTCACATCTCTATATTTTAGATAAAGTATTCGCATATCAAAGAATAGTTTCAAAAAAGCATTAAGCAGCCTGCCAATGCAGGATTTTCAAATATGCCAATTAATTTGTTCAGAGATCTATATTAAATATTATTTGATATATATTGTTGTTACCAATCACACACTACTAACAACAGCTTTCACAGTAAGTAAAAATCAGTTACACACTTATAACTAGTAAGTGAATCCTACAGAATTCTGGGAATTGATAAATGCTTACATGGCTTATTAAAAGTTTTTGTATTCATTGTGGAGTTACTTCCTCAATCTATAATCCCTAAGAGGAAATATCCAAATTTTACTTTACTTTCCCTAAATGTGCCTTCATAAACTGAGATCTAGTCAAGCTTCTAAACATGCCTTTAGCTGTGTATTTCTACATCCTAAAGTTTTTCCATGATTAAATGTTTTCCTTGCCCCTTTTCAACCACAGAAGCTGACTGTATTCATGGTGAAACTATATTGGTTGTAAATGCTAATATTTATTGAGAGTGTCCTGAAGGCTCAGGAAACACTATACCCCAGGAATGAAACCACAATATACGTATAAATGACTGCTCTAAGGTCTGACAAACTAGCGTGTCCTTGCTCACTTTGTAGTCCTGCCATTATCTTGTATCCACTTTATCTGTAAGAAATGACTGCAATGTCGTCCATCCACAAAATTTACACCTAGTGAACAAGCCCGCAGAATGGAAATTATTTTGCTTTACCTCTACTCACATCTGGCTCTACTTCATGAATTTCACTTTAGTAAGTTTTGTTACAACATCTGAAGATTCATTAAAAATGGAAATTGTTTTTCAATAAAACACACACTTGTCCCTCCAAGGATATTTTTGTGAATTAACCAGAATGATCCAATCATAACATAGTAACCACACTGAAAATTTCAGACAGTTTCTAATCTTTATTAATCAATTATGCAAAGAGAACCTAACCCTCTCTATGTGAACGAGCAAATGCTTGCAGCCAAAATCTGTACTAAATTTCCTCTTAAATAAAACCTTTTAGATACAAAACCCTGATTACACTGTAGACAAAATTTTCTTTTAAAATAATAAGCTATTTGAATATACAGAATCTTAAAATATAGTTTTCTGTTTATGATCTTTTGGGGACAGTGTTCTGGAAGAAAATTAAATCTGCTTCAAAAATGTGTCTAAATAGCTGTCTCACAAAATTTAAAATTTCTGCAGAATTCCAAAATCATTTATTTTTTTGGAGGGGTTTTCAAATTATGGTGTCAAAATTGTTGGGTAATGTTTTAGTCAAGGTTGCTATCTCCTTTTTTGTTGTTTTGTTTCTCTTTCAAATTAGCAAAAATAGTCATTCTTTGAGAAAGGAATAGGTGAGCATTAGGTAAAATGATGCACTGACATACGCCTAAAAATATCTGGTTAATAATGCATTCAACAAACTCATTCAGAATTTGTCAAGTTAACTAGCATGAAAAGTTTTACTATCTCTCTTTTTATCCTAATCGATTAGAAAACAAATGGTGTGAATAAGCAGTTTCCAATGACCTGCTATTTGTTCAGGTCAAGGTGAAAAAATGGTGTATTTAACTCTTATGTCAATAAAACATTATGTTACATATCTCAGCTCAATTACCTTTTCCCCAAAAAGAATTATTTGACTCACTCTGACCCCATGGAGCCTCTCTCACTTATCACAGTTGCCATTTAGCATGTGGTGTTGTGAGTTTATAATACATTATCCAGATCTACCATGATGCTGACATTGTAAATTGCATAAAAACAGGAATTGGGCCTATTTGTCCTCAAAATTGTATCCCTGAGTCCTAAAAGAGTACCTAGAATTTATGGTTTGCTGACAAAATATTTGTTAAATAGTGAATACATGAATGAATTATACTTAATACCAATAATTAACATATGCGTATTAGGTACTGGACAATCATCTAAATGTTTTTACAATATTAACTTATGTAATTCTCATAACTTCAGGAAGTGATTGTAGTAATACCCTTTAACAAAGTTGAGGAAACAGCAGCACATAAATTTTAAGGAGTTTGCTCAATACCACATAACTCTAAAGGGTGATGTCAGGATTCACATCTAAGTTGTCTGGTTACAGAGTTTCTGTTTTTAAGCTTGTTATACATGGAATGAAAGAACAGATTTATCTTTTCACTTTACCAACTTTATTAGTCATCTTCCAGAGAGCATGATTGAGAGTATTGAAGCTTTTCATTAAGTCTGTGGCAGAAATAAGAAAAAGGAATGCATTTTGAAAGTACTGAAAATGTGGTTTCCACTGGATTTGGCCATTCATTCCATTCATTGAGATGTAGAAGTTTCAAGAAATCAGTATGCCAAAGTGGTATCTGTACTCTAATGTTTATGGCAGCATTATTTGCAGTAGCCAAGATATGGAATGAACCTAAATGCCCATCTACAAATGAACGCATAAAGAAAATGTCACACACACACACACACACACACACACACAAATGGATTATTGAGAAATAAAACATTGAAATCCAGCCATTAATGACAACATGGATGAATAAAAGTGAAATAAGCCAAGCACAGAAATACAAATACTGCACAATCTCACTCATATGTAGAATTAAAAAAAAAAAACCTTGATTTTATAGAAGTAAAAAGTAAATGAAAAGTGGTCAGAGGCTGAAAAGGGTAGTGGAGACTAATTAAATGAGGTTAGTTGATTTATATAAAATAACAAACACGAAAAGTAAGGTCTGATGTTTTATTACACAGTGGGGTGACTGTGGCAGTAACAGTGTAGTATGTATTTTAAGATAGCTGGCAAATAATATTTTAAAGTTATTCTACAAATAAATGATAAATTTTTAAAGTGATATTCTAACTACCTTGATATGATCATTTTACAATGTATACATGCATTGGAACATCACAGTATACTCCGTACATAAATATGTACAATTATTTTTGTCAATTATAAATTTTAAAGTTCATTAAAAATAAAAGTTATTGGAAGTGAAATTTCATCTGGATTTGACAATTCATTTACTGAGACCTTCTAAATTTGCAAGTTTTGAGCGTATATGATAAAACAAGACAAAGACAAAAAGTAGAAGTGAGAGAAAAAAAAAAAGAGACAGAGACAGAAAAAGGAGAAGAAAGGAGATAGAAAGGAAGGGGACACACCGGGAAGATGAATATTGTAGAAGTTCAGTGGTTAAGATCAGTTATATGTAAACTGATTCGGAGGTTCCATTACGTTTTTAATGCATAAAACTAAAACTCCAGAAGAATATTGCAGTGGTGAGTGGAGAGTTATCCAGAAAAGAAACATTTGAAACCACAGTATTGGGTGGGATTTTAAATGATATACGGGACCTCTGCTTCCACACAGAATTTGGAAAGCAGCAAAGTAAATTCTTCTCATTCTAACAACTTAAAAAGCCAAGTAATCTACCAAATTATACCCTTTCATGAGTCTGTCAGAGAACCAAGGTTCAAAACATCCAAGAAATCTGAATACCAAGGAAGACCAAGTTACTTCAAACGTAGATGAGATGCCTGAGCATCACCGCGGGCAGAGAGTGTGAGATGTTTGTTCACCATACAGACAGGAAGAAATTACTGACTATATACCCAAATGATTATAAACCTTTCTCGTATAAAGACACATGCACACTAATGTTTATTGCAGCACTATTCACAATAGCAAAGACTTGGAACCAACCCAAATGCGCATCAATGATAGACTGGATAAAGAAAATGTAGCACACATACACCACGGAATACTATGTAGCCATAAGAGGATAAGTTCATGTCCTTTTCAGGAACGTGGATGAAGCTGGAAAACATCATTCTCAGCAAACTAACACAGGAACAGAAAACCAAACACTGCATGTTCTCACTCATAAGTGGGAGTTCAACATGGATACAGGGAGGGGACTATCACACGCCAGGGCCTGTCAGGGGATGGGGAGCCAGAACAGGGACAGCATTAGAAGAAATACCTAATGTAGATGATGGGCTGATGGGTGCAGCAAACCACCATGGCACATGTATACCTACATAATAAACCTGTACATTCTGTGCATGTATCCCAGAACTTTTATAATTTTAAAAATAAAAGAGGAAATCAGCTTAAGTAATGTTAAAGGCCAAGCGTGAGCTATTGGGAAAAGCAGGAAGTCTTAGAATAAAAGAGTTTGCATTCACTCCCAGGTCTTCTCTGCAGGCCCCCACCAAGCATGTACAAAAAACAATAATAATAATAATAATAATAAAATTAAATTTCTTCAAGTATCATTGTTTCTGGTTGTCTTTGACTAAAGAGCAGTGAAAATTACTGGAATAAATGCTTTAGTGGAGACAGTAAACACCATGCATGAATATGTGAGAAATATCAGAGATGGAAAATATAAATAAAAACTCATGCTCAGTCACAATATCTAAGACAGAGTTTCTTTCACAAGCTTATCAGTAGATTCAGTAACTTGAGAAAAGTATTAGTGAACTTGAAGATAAAGCAACATAAATTAACCAGAGAGAAAAGTTAAAGAAAAAATACAGAACTAAAAGTTATCAAAAAAACTGTAGGACAACATCAAACAATCTAATATACATACAGTTAGTGTTTCAGAACAAGAATCAAGGGAGAATGGGTCAGAATAAACATTTGAAGACAAAATGGTCAAGAATTTCCTAAAAATAAGAAAACATAAAATCACAGGCACAAAATACTCAGAAGACCCAAGGAAGGATGTGTGTTAGTCAGGGTTCTCCAGAGAAACAGAACCAACAGGATGTATGGGGGAGGAGGAGGGTGAAGGATTCATTACAAGGAACTGGCTCATGTGATTCTGGGAAGCTGGCAGTTCCAAATTCTGCAGGTTGGGTCATCAGGCTGCAGATCCAGGATTACTGATAATCTAGTTGGAACCCATGAGCAAAGTGCTGTAGAACCAGGAAGAGCTGGTGATGTAGGCAAGATCTGAAGGCAGTCTGCTGGAGGATTAGCTCTTGCTCTGGAGAGGCGAGTCTTTTTGCTCTATGCAAACCTTCATCTAATTGAATAAGGCCAACCCACATTATGGAGGTCAATAGGCATTCCTCAAATGCCACCAATTTCTATGTTAATCTCTCCCAAAACATCCTTAGAGTAACAAACACATTAATGTCTGACCAAATGTAAGCACATCATGGCCCATTTAAGTTGACACATTAAAATTAATCAATACATGTGTACCCCTTGCCAACCTGGCAGTCATATGTATTCCCTTAAAGCATACCTGATCTCCAAATGAAAACAAAAATAAGACCAAACTTCTACCTAACATGATATTTCCATTCTTAACAAAATTAAAACTGCTCTCACCCTCTCCCCTAGAAGAGAATGAAAAGTCCTTAGATGATGTTTACTTTTTTCCCTTGATATTCCATACTTCGAGCACCATGCTGTAAAGTGGACAATATTTAAACAATGTGATGGAAATCCAATGCATTCTACTCACTTAGTCCATTTTTTGCTTCTCAAACAGAATACCTGAGACTGGGTGATTTTTAAAGAAAAAAAAAAAAATTTTCCCACATTTCTGGAGACCGAGTAGTCCAAAATTAAGGTGGCAGCAGTTACTGTTTGGTGAGACCCCTCTTGCTGCATCCTCACATGGTAGAAGGTGGACAGGAAAGGGAGCAAGCTTGCCAAATACTGAACGAAGACTTTTAATAAGCCTTAATTTCATTAACAAAGAAGGAGCCCTTACAGCCTAATCACCTCTTAAAGGTCTCACTTCTTAATACTACCATATTGGCAACACCTGAATTTTGGAAGCCATTTAAAATATAATTTTGCCCCAGGACTCTAAAATGCATGTCCTTCTCACATAAAAAATACATTTGTTCCATCCGAATAGCACCCTGAAATCTTAACTCATTCCAAAAGCAATTCAATCCTTAAAAATCTAGAGTTTTATTTAAATCTGCTCATGTATGGGAAGGGTCAATATTGTGAAACTGACCGTACTGTCGCAGGATACTTGGGGTGTTGCTTTGTCAGCCTGAAATCTCTGTGGCCTTATGCCTGAGTATTGCTCACACCCACTGGACTCATTTTATCAACTCTGCCTGGCAGTCTGCCCTCAGCCTGAACTCCTGGCCCAGGACCCACACCTGCCAAGGGAGAGCCAGACACAGAGTGGCAAGGGGTGTATGAGCAAGCGAGAATGAGATCCAGCCACTACACATGGCCAGGCACACTGGCTGCTGCAGCTGGGCAGGCAGCTCCAGGTGCAAGCACAGGTCCCAGCTCTGTGCGAGGCTGTGGTTGGATCAGATGTACCACGAGCAGCTTCCACTGTGGGTACCTGCATCTGAACAGGGGGAGTGTGGTAGTGTCTGAAAGCTTGGAGACATCAGAAACCATGGAACCCCAAAGAGGACGTTATAGCCCCGGCTTGGGGAGTCACTAGGTCTGGGCTGCCCAAAGGGCTGCAGCTCCTCTCTCCAAATCATTGCCCACAATGTAGCAGGGGAGCATGTTTCAGTCCTGTTTGTGTTACAGCTCTTTCAGTCTCATCATTTGGTGGTCCCGAGTTCTTGTCCCACATCCAGGAAGAATGAGGCACATTGACAACTGGGGAGTGAACAAGGAGGCAGAGAAGAGCTTACTTGAGCAACAGAACACCTCTAAGGAGACCTGCAGTGGGTAGCTTCTTTCTGCAGGCAGATAATCCTGACAAGTGTCCAGCTCTCAGTGGAGAGGAGAGCCACAGTGGGTAGCTCCTTTACATAGGCAAGTCATCCTAATGAGTCAAGGAGACCTGAAGTTGGTAGCTTCTTCCTGAAGCTGGTAGTTGGATTTCTGTCCAAGTCTGGTTGAGTCCGGGGTTTTCATGGGCTCAGAAAGAAGAAAGTGCATGCTGATTGGCCCATGGGCGGCCATGGAAGGGCCCAGAAAAAGCAACATAAGTTCTCACTCCAGGTCATAGGTTCCACCCAGAACTGGCAGCCCAGGCCCCTAGACTTCAGACCATCCCTGGCTTGAAGGTGGATGGAGACCTGCCTCTTTCCGCCCAGAAATTTGTCTGTCTCTCGCCATGTAAGGCACCCAGGCTGTTTGTGCCAAGGGGTGCCTGCAAGCCCATGGCAAGCCACCCTCGGCACAACCCACAGCCTCCCTCCCATGCCCATTGGTGCCCAAAGTTCAGAGGATGCCAAGGCAGCAGGGGGCTGGTGTGCTAGTGCTGCGCTGAGTGTGCACAAACCTAGATGGGTTGCAATAGTGCCCAGGCTCGACCACAACTTTGCTATGCCCTGGAGTGGGAGCAAGGAGTGGGGCGAGGCAGGAAGCAAAAGCAGGCACTTGAAAGCCTGTGGGGGCAGGGGGTCTCCTGGGCATCCAAGCACAGGGATGCCCAGGTCTGGAGCCACAGCTTAGTGGCTGCAGCTGTGCCTGGGAATACAGGGCTCCCATCCTGCCAGCTTGGTAGTGGGTAGGGCTCCTGCCTGTTCCTGGCCCACTCTGGCTCTGTGGAGCACAAAGTCCTGGCTGCCTCCCTGGCTGCAGCCGGTGTCTTTGCAGTGGCTACTCCAAATGGACTGCCTTTGCCATCAATACTGCCCAAAGCAATATACAGATTCTATGCAATTTCTGTCAAAATGCCAACTTTATTTTTCACAGAATTAGTAAAAACAATCCCAAAATTCATATGGAACCTAAAAACAACCCAGTTAGCCAAAGCAATCCTGAGCAGAAAGAACTAATCTGAAGGCATCACATCACTGAACTTAATATTATACAAGGTTATAACAAAAAAAGCATGTACTGGTATAAGAATGGACACATAGGCAGTTGGAACACAGAGAACCCAGAAACAAAGGCAAATACTTACAACCAAGGCTATAGTAACAAAAAAAGCATGTACTAGTATAAGAATAGATACATAGACAGATGGAACACAGAGAACCCAGAAATAAAGACAAACACTTACAACCAAAGCTACAGTTAACAAAAAAAGCATGTACTGGTATAAAAGTAGATACATAGACAGATGGAACACAGAAATCCCAGAAATAAAGACAAGTACTTAAAACCAACTGATCTTTGAGAAAGCATACAAAAACAAACTGGGCACAAGACACCCTATTTAATAAATGGTGCTGGGAAAATTCTTTTCATTCCACATGTAAAAGAATGAAACTGGATTTGTATGTCTCACCATACACAAAAATTAATTTAAGATGGATGAAAGATTTAAATCTAAGACCTGAAACCATAAAACTTTTAGAAGAACACCTAGAAAAATCTCTTTCCGGCATTGGCCTAGGCAAAGAATTTATAATTGGGATCCCCAAATCAAATGCAACAAAAACAAAAATAAATAAATGGGACCTAATTAAACAAACGATTCTGCATAGCAAAAGAAATAATCAACAGAGTAAACAGACAACCCACAGATTGGGAGAAAATATTTGCAAACTATGCATCCAACAAAGGACTAATATCCAAAATCTACAAGGAATTCAAATCAGCAAAATAATAATAATAATCCTATCAAAAAGTAGGCAAATGACATGAATAGACATTTCTCAAAAGAAGATATACAAATGGCCAACAAACATGAAAAACTGCTTAACATCACTAATTATTTGATAAATGCAAATTGAAACCCCCCATGAGAGATCACCTTACCCCAGCCAGAATGGCCATTATTAAAAAGTCAAAAAACAACAGGTGTTGGCGTGGATGTGGTGAAAGGGATTGCTTATACACCACTGGTGAGAATGTAAATTAATTCAACATATACGGAAATCAGTATGGAGATTATTCAAAGAACCAAAGGTTATTTTGGTGAGGAATCTATCTTTTGGACTTTCCCAGTTTGGGTTAGTGGATCCTAACAGGCAAATTCACTTCAACTTTTCAATATCTTTAACCCTTTAAATCCATGTTTCTACAGAAAAATAAAAGCAGGGGCTGCACGTTTAACTCATTGTGGGCCACCTTTTGGTCCATATTTTCGCCAAACAACAAACGTGTTAGAGTCTTTTCTCACTCTTTGAGCTGCAACATTAAATGTAGTATCTCTGCTTACTGGACTTGTATCGAAAAATTTGGTCTGATCCAGTATTATATTCCTATCATTATCTTACATCCTTAATATCCATTTCCAAACATATTCTCTGAATTTCAGCCTGTATATATTATGAAACTCAAATACTTCTTTTAGAGTATAGCACACCTCAACATAGTTTACATTTTGTCCCTCACCTATAGGATGCTGACGGCATGGTCATTGCTCACTGCAGCCTAAACCTTCCAGGCTTAAGTGATCCTCCCATCTCAGCCCTCTTAAGTAGGTGGGAACATAGGCATTTGCCGCCACGCTATTTTTTTTTTCCTTTCTGTAGAGATGGGTTCTCAATATATTGCATAGGTTAGTCTTGAACTCCTGGACTCAAGTGATCCTCCCACCCTGGCCTCCCAAAGTGATGGGATTATGGGCATGAGCCACCACATCCAGCCTCATTCGTGTCTTTAAAACTAATCATATTAGACAGCCAATTGCAGAAATCCCAGAGCTACTAGTTTTAAAGGTTAGCAAGTCCAACATTTGTAGGTTGAGTTGGCAGGCAGGAGACCCAGAAAGGCTACTGTTTCAGTCTGAGTCCATAAGCAGCCTTCCATAGAACCAGAAAGAGTCAATGTGGTTGATAATGTCTGAGACGGTCTTTTGAAGAATACCCTTTTCTTTGTGACAGGGTGGTCATTTTGTGCCAATCAATCGATTGGATGAAGCTCACCCAAATGATGGAGCGCAATCTGCTTTATTCCAGTTCCACAGATTGGAGCCATGTATGTTAGGCCTTCTCTACGAAGGTTTTTCCTCTTTAAAATATCAATATATTTGAATGACCACACAGCACAATGATGTGCAGACAGGCAGGCTAAATAATTGTTCAAAAAATAAATATATGAAGCAACTTCCTTTAATATATCAATTTGCTATATTTAATATTACAACATAATTGAATTTTTGTCATCATATATACATTTTAAATACCAGTAAAAATTAGGTCACAAATATTATAAATCATTGAAAAATATGTGACAAGGGTCTTGAACCAGATCCTTTATTTTTTTCAAATTATTAACATGTACTCCAGTATTCTATCAGGATTAAATATTCTAAATTTAGTATCTTGATTGTGCTTTTCTTCTGTCTACTCTTTATGACTTTGAAACTATTTTTTTAAGTAAAGACGTTTCAGAAATTATGTGATCTGTTAATACCCAAAATTACCACAATTATACTACCACAATACTATTTGCTACATCATAGTGGGCTTAATATTGCTTTAAATAAATGAAATAGAGAAAAGCTATGATGTTAAGCACTTCAGCTAAATTTGTCTTTAAACCAGCATTTTTACTAGATGCCAAAAGATGAGTTTTCCTGGTTTAGCCTAGGTCAATATTAGCATATATTGAAAAGATTGAGAGTTATAAAGAGTAAATGACTGTTTCTCGAAGAAATTAATATAGGATCAGCTTTGAAAATTAATATAAAGCCACATCTATAAATACAAATTTAGTAGAAGACATAAATCTCCAGATACCTTGAGTTTGACATTGAAACACTAAATTTGCAAACAAGGAGATAAATAGGCATTTATTGAGCTCTTGCTATAGAAATAGACTTTTGTGTGCACATTGTTTTATTGCAACTTTGCAGGAAATCTCACAGCTATCAAGTGCCAGAGGCAAGATTAAACCTCCTGTCACCCAAATAATGCATGCACTTTTCACTGATTTACTGCCTTCCATTAGACCTTGCATACATTCTGGAAGTTACATTCCACCCCCACCCACCATCCCCAGTGAAATAGAACAAAACATGATTCTCAAGGTATTTGGAATTTTTAACCATTGAAGCTAGAGAAACGATAGAAATAAGTAGCAATCCTAAGTGACTTCTAGATACCACGGCTAGCAAAAATAAACCTAAGATCATTTTTTATTGTTTTTCTTGTTATATCAAAATATAAGTGCTCATTAGTTGAATAAGATAAATATGTTCTTGCCCTTTCTTGGTTAATTCCTGATTGTTCATACTTCAAACTGATCTGTTTTCAATTCTTGGCAAGAACTTTGCACAAATCAGATGTGTAGGAATACAAATTATTCACCTATACAATGGTCAAGAATTAATGTTTTCTACAGTCTGCTTAGTAGCTAAAATGTTTAGTACAAAATAACATATTTGATCTTTTCTTAGATTCTAGCTACTAAAATCATCTCCTAATGATCTGAAAATTTCTCTCACCTGTGGAACAGCAAATGCAGGTTTGATTTCTTAATGAATATAGTTCATATAGATTGTTTATATCCACTTACTTGAATGCTGATGAAACTCACAGGAGATATGCCCAAGAGAATATGCTTCAATTATCTTCCAGTTTAAGAACAGCTCCCAATATACAAGTTTCTATTAAACAATTTTACTGAAGTCACCATGTTTATATTAATGAGCTTCACAGAAGAATTTGATGTGCAAGTCTTCCTATTTTTATTATTTAGCAATCTATCTTTCACTCTAATAGGAAATTTAGGGCTAGTTGTACTGGTCATTGGGGATTTTCGGCTTCACAACCCAATGTACTATTTTCTTGGTGTTTTATCATTCTCGGATGCCTGCTATTCTACAGTTGTCACTCCAAAAATGTTGGTCAATTTCCTGGCAAAAAATAAATATTTCATTTCTTGGATGTGCAACACAGATGTTTCTTGCTTGTACTTTTGGAACCACAGAGTGTTTTCTCTTGGCTGCAATGGCTTATGATCGCCATGTAGCCATCTACAACCCTCTCCCGTATTGAATGAGCATGTCACCTAGAGTCTACGTGCCACTCATCACTGCTTCCTACATTGCTGGCATTTTACATGCTACTATCCATACAGTGGCTACATTTAGCCTGTCCTTCTGTGGCTCCAATGAAATTAGGCATGTCTTTTGTAATATGTATCCTCCTCTCCTTGCTATTTCTTGTTCTGACACTCACGTAAACCAATCTCTACTCTTCTACTTTGTGGGCTCTACTGAGATAGTCACTATCCTGATTGTCCTGATCTCCTATGGTTTCATTCTTCTGGCCATTCTGAAGATGCAGTCTGCTGAAGGAGGAGAAAAGTCTTCTCTACATGTGGAGCTCACCTAACTGGAGTGACAATTTATCATGGGACAATCCTCTTCACGTATGTGAGACCAAGTTCCAGCTACGCTTCAGACCATGACATGATAGTGTCAATATTTTACAACATTGTGATTCCCATGGTAAATCCCATCATCTACAGTTTGAGGAACAAAGATGTAAAGGAGGCAATCAAAAGACCGCTTGTGAGAAACTGGTTCATACATAAGTTACAGTTTTAAAATTGAGTAAACTTGTAAATAATATTGGGTGTCAGTCCACATCTCTATGGTCAGAAAGTAAACAAAATTTGTTTCTTTAACAGTGCTTGTAACTTGTAGAATATTTTCAAATAAAGCATCAATCAGTCTACTAATGCACGATTTTAGAAATATCAATATATTGTATCATGCCACATGTATAAAATGTGGCATGTATTCATAGCCTATGACTATGACTACATTTAAACTAACCTGCATTAAATATTGATTGATGTGCAAACATTGCTGTTTTTAGTTTTTGTGTAACTTGATTTTCACTGGCTATGTTAAAAATGATGCCCTCTGGATTCTATGGCTTTATATGTTCCTACATAACTCTATAATGGGTGCTAAAGTAAGTTTTCCCAGCACCATTTATTGAAGAGGCTTTCCTTTCCCCAGTGTATTTTCTTGGCACCTTTGTTGAAAATGAGTTTATTATAGATGTATGGATTTGTATTCAGTTCCACTGATTTGTCTGTTTTTATACAGTAACATGGTATTTTTGTTATCGTAGTTCCATACTATAATCTGAAGTCAGAAAATGTTATTCCTCCATTTTTTTTTTTCTCTTTGCTTATGGTAAACTTTGGCTATTCTGGGTCTTTTGTGTTCATATAAATTTTAAGATTCTTCTTTATTTTTGTGAAGAATGTCATTTGTATTTTGATAGTAATTGCACTGAATCTGTAGATTGCTTTTGGTAGCCCAGACATTTTAATGATATCGATTCTTCCAGTTCATGAACATGGAATATCTTTCCATTTTATGTGTCCTACTCAATTTCTTTCATTAACATTTTGTAGTTTTTATGGTACAGATCTTTCACTTCTTTGGTTATTTCCTAGGTATTTAACTTTATTTATGGATATTGTAGATTTTTAAATTTCTGTTTTGGATTGATTGCTATTGGCATTGTAAACCAAAGATAAAATTCAAAGTCCCCGCTCCCCGCCCTTCCCCACAACTATCTAAACGGACTCCCTCCTAGGGCAGGGCACTCTAAAAATTTAACATGAAAGACCAGATTAGGCCATGACTGGAAGTAGGGTTTGATGTGTCTCATTATAATCCTCTGGTGTTAACATCAACACAGACCGTAAGTCTCGTGAGAAACATTTACAATCTATTCTAAGCTTGCTACTTGGAGGCTTCATCTCCATGATAAAACCTTGGTCTGCACAACCCCTTATCTTAATCCAGACATTTCTTTCTACAGAAAACAACTCTTTCAACCAATCGCCAATCAGAACCTATTTAAATCTACCAATGACCTGGAAGTCCCACCCCTCCCCACCTCCTGCTTCAAGTTGTCCCACCCTTCCATATCAAACCAATGGAATTTTACGTGTATTGATGGATGAAATTTCTAAAATTTGAATATGTCTTAGTATATGCTATCAGTCATAATTATGGTTATTATGTTAAGCTACTGTAGAACACAGAGGTAACCAAATTTTTTTTGTCAGTTGCCTGTTACTATGACTATTTAAAGTCATTTCCACAATTAATTACTTAATTCTGATGCAGTTTCTGAAAACCTCACAAGCACACAAAATCCTAGAATATGGTATCTTTTAGGAGGTTCATGAAAGGATAGAAAGGACCCTGAAAAGCACTCACGCTCAAATAAACACAGCTTTCTGACAACTTTAGAATCACATCATTTGGACTGGGTGAGAAGTTCCTCAACTTTAACGAAAGGACTGACTGGTTCATAAAACTACTAATCTGAGTAGAACAAAGAATAATTGAATAGCAAGAAAACACTTTGCCAGATTTTGATGCTATATCAGCCATTACTAAAATTGTTTAGATATACAATTTGAATGAACTCCATGGTCTGAGTCAAATTACCTATGATAACCCATCAATTATCAGTGATATGCACATAGAGAAACAACTGATATTCAGGAGGACATAAGTTCAATGTCAAGCATGGATTAGTGGAGAACCAGGACAGCCGCCTTGTCCTTCCTGAGTCCCTAAAGCTTTTGTTAAGAGTTCTGCATTCTGTGACTCATCATGCAAAAGATAAAATGATCCAATTAAATACTTATTGGTGTGGTGACTTCTAATTTGCTGAAATAGTTTATCAATATTTGGTTTGTCAAATGTAAGAATATTTCATACTCCTAGGAAAACAATCAAAGCTTCAGGTACATTTCACTACCTGATGTGATGGTTGTGTATGGGCTGCTCATGTTGACGGGGTCCAGTCTGCTAGACCTCTTCATTAGTTATGTGTGGCCTGCCAGCAGAGCAGCTATGATGAGGGCCCCCAGAAAGCACCCTGCTTGGGTATTGGAGGCTGTGCTGCAAGTGGGGACAGCCAGGCGGGAGCCCCAGAAAAGGCTGGGAGACAGGGCGGCACTCAGATAAGGCTGTCCCCATTACACAGATAAGATCTCCCTGTTCTGTCCAGGTCCATAAGTCTCCTAAAGGCTAAAGCCTCCTAGAGGAGCTTGGTGATCTTTGGGGAATGGGTATCCCTGGCCATGCTCCACTGAAGCTCTTCCTGCACGAAACCCTCTGTGCTCTGTAAAATCTGGAGTCCTGCCCCCATTAGTTTTATAGGCAGCAATTCTTGCCTGTTCAAGTGTCCATGGGGGATCATTGGTTCTACTGCCACTAGGATTCTGGAGGCCCATGGATAAAGCAGGCTGTTCTGTCTATTCAACTCACCCATTCACCAGGCGTCAGTGGAGTCCAGGAGCGGGTCCTAGTCCTCAGCAGTCCTGTGTAGGGTTCTCAGCTTTCTACCTTAGCCCAGTGTCTGCACCTTCCCATTGTCCACTTTCAATCCCTTCTCTCTGAAGATATGTTCAGAGTGTGCCAGTCTTCCCAATGTCTCAGGAACTGGGAAACATTCTTTCTGGCTGTGATCACTCGACCATCTTGGCTCCCCGTCTATATTGATATTTTAAATACATTGTTTACCTTTTGCTACCAAAAAGTTGACTATTATGGGTCTCTGTGAGAATCTTTGTGTGTTTATCAAATTTAAGTTTGGTTTAGTCTCCTACATCTGCATATCACTGATATTTCTCTGATTACAGAAGGTTTTGAAATATTTTTATCCTTTTTTCCTTAACTTTTGCTGCTACTCTGACTCTTTTAATAAACATAATAGTAGTACTACAAGTGTCCAAGGATTTCTTGATTTTTTGGTGACCTTTTCTACTATTTTATTTATAATGGATAATGTCTATTTACCTCTTATTAAGTTGGTTGATTCTTAATTCTGCCGTCTCAATCTTCTGTTGCGTCTAACAAGTAAATTTTTCATTTCAGTTATTCTGTTTTTTAACTCCAGATTTTCTATTTGATTATTTCGGAAAAAAAATGCTTTTTTGATTTTCTCCTTTGGTAAGTGATTCATTTTCTACAGTACTCTTTTCTGAAAATTCTAACTTGTAGAACTGTGAGAAAACAAAATTTTTGTTCTTTATAAATTATCCACTGTTAGGTATTCTGTATAGAAGCACAAATGGACTAAAACAAATGCTCAGGCAGCTTACAGTTCTGCCGAAGACTTCACTTTCTCCTTTTGCAGAGCCTCAAAGTCAGGCATGGTTTGAGCCTCTGGGTTTGACAGCTGAATATCTATTTTAAGAAGCTCTACCAATTGCATATTATACACTGAACCATGAGGAAAATTTTTAATGTATTACTTCCATACTCAACTCTAAAATCTATTTTCAATGGATTTAATTTCTTTATTGATATTCACTTTTTGTGGATTTATTTTCTCAAGTATTATAAACATGTTTCTGATTCTTTGAAATACTAGTTACGGTTTCTTTGAAATAGGAGTCTGCTAAATCCAACATCTGTGTCCAGTCATAGGCAGTGCTTATAGACTACCTATCAACCATATCCAAGTATAGATCATTATTTCCTCTGTTTTTCATGACTCATAGATTTGCATTGAGAACTGGAAATTTTGTAATATATTTTAGCACCTCTAAAATTTTATTTTTTTCCTCTATGATTCTCTGTTGCTGTGTGTGTTTTTGTTATAAAATACCTTATTTAGAATTAATATGCAGAATTTGGCCACTAATTTCTCTGCTCAGTATTTCCTTTGCATTATTAACTTTTAGGTCGACTTTCTAAGAGTTACCTCTTTGTCTTCCAGGTTAGTGGTCAAAGTTGTTCTAAAAATTTTGATTTCATAAGGCCTGCACCCTCTGCTGCTGACCTATGCCTGGTTTGGGGAGCATATTAATCTGTATTAGTGTTCAAGTATACCCCAGCATTTACTTTCTTCTGAGTCCTCTAAAGTCTCCATTATGTGCATATAGATTTTCAGACAGCTGGTGATGTGTAGGATATTGGAATTTTTATCAAATCCCTCAGTTGGCATCTCCTTTCCAGGAACTTTAAATTTCTGGCTACCCCTCCCTTCTGCTACTTACCTCAGCTATGACCATAACCTGAGGTTAAAAGAGTTCCATTCACTACCATGCATGGATTTTCTACCATTTACTCCAAATCTAATTACCCCCCAACCCCCGCCTTTAACATGGAAGTTGCTGGTTTTTATGGATAGGCTTGCCTTGAACAAAAAATAAAGTAAAATTATCAGACTTGTATCATAGTTATATAATTAGACACAATATAATGCAGGTACATAATGCAAAAAGAAACAAATGTTACAATATTGATACATCACAAATAAAAAGTGACTTAAATACAGCAATGAAATAACACAACAAATATGCATGGTAAATACACACAAATTTTACGTGTTAACAGGAACACATTAATAATATAGGACATATATATTAATAAAACAGTTTGTCAAGACAAAAGAAAAATTTGGTTGACAGAAAAAAATTTGGTTGAGGGTTAAACAGAACAAATGAAATGCTGCAATATGTAATTAAGAAAAAAAATCTAAATTTATAAACAGACATGATGGTAAGTCACATTAAATAAAAATAAAATAATTTATTAATACTAACACATTTACTGTG